GTAAAAAAATTATGGACTAACCTGATCAAGAAGAAAAGTGAAGTAATCGGGGTATTTGCCAAGTTTAAATTTATGTTCGAATAACAAAATTGTCGAAAGCTCAAGATTCTGAGGACTGATGGTGGTGGAGAATATGTGTCGCAATACTTCGACAGATTATGTGAGAAAGAATGGATTATACATAAGGTGGTGTCACCCTAAATTCCACAATAGAATGGAACTGCAGAAAGGGAGAACATAACCATTAGAAATATGGTGATAAATATGTTGAAAGGCAAGCATCTGCCAAAGATTATGGGGAGAAATTGTGTCGACTGCAACATAAATTTTGAATAGATGTTCGACAAAAAGGCTAGAAGGAATCGCGCCAAAAGAGTGCTCTGGTCTAGTGTTAAGTTTAGCTTGAGTCATTTGAAGGTATTTGGATCTATAGCATATAGATATGTAACAGACCAGTTGAGAAGAAAACTTGATGACAGGTCGAGTCAAATGATCCTAATAGGATACCATTCGACTAGAAGATACAATTTGTTCGACCCGATGAACAAGCAAGTAATGATCAGTAGGGGCTTGATCATAAACGAGTTTAAGAAATGGGATTGGACTAAAAATGTAAAGAAGGATTCAATGAGAATCTTATGTGAAGAACCAACAAGCAAAGTTGAAAGAGAAGTTCGACAAGAAGAAGTCAGAGGTCAAGCAAGCACAATCAGACCTCAAAGAGCAAGACACATCCCTGCAAGGTTGCAAGAATGTGTGATTACATCATATGATATGGTCGATGATGAAGGTGAGCTGGTACACTATGATTTTTATGCAGATGTCGAACCGGTCAATTTCGCTGAAGCATTGAAGGATTCGAAGTGGATGAAAGTAATGAATGAGGAACCGAAGCCCATAAAAGTTAACAACACTTGATCACTTGTATAATTGCCTCAAGACAAGAAGGCAATCAACGTGAAGTGGGTATACAAGGTGAAGTTGAATCCCAAAGGAGAAGTAACTCAATATAAGGCGAGACTTATGGAGAAAGGATTTCTTCAGAAAGAAGGAGTCGACTTTGACGAGGTTTTTGCACCTGTTGCTGGAATCGAAACAATCAGATTGGTTGTTAGTTTAGCAAACATGAACAACTGGCTGTTGTGTCAAATAGATGTGAAATGTGAATTCTTGAGTGACCCCTTAGATGAAGAAGTTTATGTTTCATAATCAGATGGGTTTGTGAAATGAGACGAAGAAAGAAAGGTATATAGGCTGCATAAAGCCCTGTATGGACTTAAGCAAGCTCCAAGAGCTTGGAATAAGAAGATAGATAGTTTTCTAAGGGAGAAGAAATTTGTGAAGTATACAACTGAGCATGGAGTATATGTAAGAAGAAGCAATAATGAATTTATTATATTATGTCTCTATATCGATGACATGTTGATAACAGGAAGCTGCAAGAAGGAGATCGAAGATTTCAAACATGACCTAAGTGAGGAGTTTGAAATGCTAAACTTGGAAAATATCTCATATTTCCTTGGCATCGAATTCTATAAGAGTGGTAGAGGTTTGATGATGCATCATGCAAGATTGCAATCCAACTTCGACTCCAGTTGAGCCCATAATACAACTGTCAAAAGACACAAATGAAGATGGTGTCGATCCAATGCAATACAAAAGACTCATTGGATCACTTCGATACATTTATCACACAAGGCCTGATCTAGCATACAGTAGGTATGGTAAGTAGGTTCATGCAGAAGCTAAGGGTATCACACCTAGCAGCGACGAAGAGGATACTAAGGTATCTGAAAGAAACTCTCAACTATGGTATTTTGTTTCCTGCAGTTGATGAAGGAAAAGATGTGTTCATGTTAGGCGGTGTACCAGTTGCTTGGAGTTCAAGAAAGGAACCAGTAGTTGCACTATCATCATGTGAAGTAGAGTATATAGTTGCTTCTCTTTGTGCATGTCAAGCAACGTGGATGGTGAACTTGGTTGAAGAAATTACACGGAAGAATCATGGAGCAATTGCCATGAAGATCGACAAAATGTATGGCATCAATCTAGTGAAGAATCTGATAGTACATCACATCGAAATGAGACTCCATTATCTTCGAGAGCATGTAACAGATGGAAAGAAAAACTTGGAACACTGCAGAACTAAGAATCAGATTGCATATATCATGACGAAGGGAGTGCAGGTCGAAGTGTTCTAGAAGTTAAGGTCTATGGCGAATATGAATAGCTTAGACACAATGAATTAGGTTGTGTATTAAATTGTAACTCTTTGTGTCAAAGCAGTATTTTTTTATAAAGTCTATTGTCGTAAAATATTGTGAGTCGAAATTGTGTGAGTGTCGAAATGTCGAAGGAGTGTACCTCGACAGAAATTTTGACCTAGGTCTAATTTTGTAGTGCTAACAAAATTAGGTTTTTGGGACCTTTTTGTTTTTGGGCTTTCCTTAGTGAGCAAACAATTAAAATCTATAAATAGGGAGCAACCCAAGAGAACTTGCAGTTGCAAAAAATAAAGTTTTAAGTTTGGAAGCAGGGAGAAGCTTTGCAGAAAATCTCTTCTCCTATTTTTCTCTAAAATCCTAATCTTTCTTTCTTCCCCAAATTTCTTTTCTTCGTTCATTGGCATTGTGTAGCGATACAATCTTGCAACCAAGGTTGGTTGATTCACTCGAGTGAAGAGTGAAGAACAATAGAGAATTCGATCAGTGTGATTGAATCTTGTTCATCAAGATTGATTTGGAATTACTTAAAGTCTTGAGTTTAATTCGAACACAATACTCCATACCACACTTCAACAATTCCACAGTCCAATCAACCAATGTCGTCCTTCCTCTATCAAACCAGTGTCGTCCTTCCTCTGTCGAACCAGTGTCTCTCTTCTTATTCCTCTGTCGTGTCTCCTGCTCTTCCATCATAACTCACAATCACAATATATTTTATTTGTTTGGGTAAAAATGAAATATATGGATATTATGTTTGAATCTTATTATGTTTTTGTGAAAAAGAAGAAAATAAATGTGATCAAATTTTGTTAATAAGTTAAGAGCGAATTGTATGGATGTTATGTGATAATAATTTCTTCTGTCTTTAAAAGAAGATAAAAATATTTTTTCAAAAAATAATTTAAAAAAAAAAACATTATTCATAAATATTTGCGAATACTATAAAACTCGCGGATTACCTGCTTAATAGATATCCACATGAATATAAGACAAATATGAATATCATATTTATTCAATAGGGTGGATAAACGGAATGGATACAAATATCATAATATTCGTCTAATTTACATCCCAACCTAACATGTGTTTTAGAATTGGATCTATGTGTAAGAATTATGGAACCAAAACTAAAATCTTTCAAACATTTTTTTAAGCATAATCAAGTAATTTACCATCAACTCAAAGGGTTTTGTTGTCCATGCAAAGATATGGTGTTCTATCGATGAAGTATGCAATTGTGCTAATACAATCACTCCAAAAATATAAAAAGAAATTTGAACTTAGAACAACAATTCTTTTGAAACATTTTAGAGATGTTTATGCTTCCTTTCTACTATAGTTGCTTCTTATGAAATAGTGGTAACCATGGTAACCAAATAAATGAGTAATATTTTGCCATCAATCTTTATATCTATACCATATTTACCATGAAAAATAAAAAATAATAATATTTATAAATAAATATTTTTGTTTTCTAAATTACTTTTCTAACACAAATATAAATTTTATTATCAATCAAATTTATTATTAAATTAACCATAAAAATATTTGTAATTAACTAAATATTTTATTTATAACTGATTAGTCAAATTCATTACTTCATTAACCAATAAAATACATAACATTAATCAATCTTTAACATTATAAAATACTAAAAAAAATTATTTCATTAACCAAATTTTAATATTATATTATAAAATATATAAATAAATTATAAAATACAACAAATAAAATTGGTTAATAAAAAATAATAACTGATTATTATATTTTATATATATAATGAATGTTATTATTTTATTAACTAACAAATAAACTATAAAAAATTGGTTAATAACAAATCTTATAAATGTTTATTTTATTAAAAAAAACATTGTTCATTGTATTTGTGCCCAATAAATATGGTTCAAGTGTTAAAGTTCATGTCAAAATAACATTGCTCTTACACTTAGGTAAAAAAATTCATAGTAGATGTAAAAAATCAAAAAATGACAATAAATAAGGCAAAGAAACATGACTTTTGCAACAATTATCAAAATAAAAGGTTGATTCTAAAACCTGACTTGTATAAAAATACAAAAACAAATTATTATATTTAAAATTTAAAAACGAGGAAATCAACACCAAAAAGAAACAAAATTTTAAATGAATCACTTTTAAAACTGTAACAAAAAACTAAATCAAATATACAAATCAGGTTTCATAACTTTTCAATTGATTTAGATGCATTTTTTTCATTTATGGTAATAAAATAAAACATTCAAACTCAAATTTTTCCTTAAACAAGAATAAAATTTCTCTAAAAATGTTGATATTTATCTCTTAAAATTCCACCATTAGCATCATTTTCTCATGTAAGCGGCAAACGATAACATATATTTTCAAGATATTTAAATATCCTTAAATTTGAAACGGCAAAACAGATTGATAGATTAACTCCTCCTTGCTAAACAAAGACCACTTCAGTATAGTTATATGATTAAATATTTCAAGCATTCACAAATGAGTGCAGGCAAACTGAATATGATAATTACGTTGATTAATCTTTAAGCATTCACAAAAAATCAGTTAAAAGATGCAATGCATGCATAATATCAAAACATGAGGCTCGAATCATCGGAAGCACGCCGAATTAAAACTTAAGGGGAGAAATAAATTACTGCATAATATAATCATAATTTGCTTAGGACACATGTACTCTCTGATAATGCTCAAGACATTCTCCCACAAACAGGACCATATCCTTGGTGACAGGATAATCTATGCCCCTCTCCCTTCCCTGTATAAGCAAAAGCATGGCAAAATTAATGTGTGTAGCTTGAACTGATTGACTAAATTGAAAATAAACTAAATACTAAGCAAATGGTAGTAAGAAGACTCACTATCTTCGAGAAGGAAACGCAGCAGCACTTGGCCTGTTTGAAGAAAAAGTTAAGTATGATTTGCTTATTCGTGTAACTATAACCATCATAAGATCATTAAATAAACAATGTCAAGCCGGATCTGCTGTTGAAGAAATAAAGTGTGAAACTAACCTCCCATTGGCTGGGCCTGAATTTTGAGCACTGATCATACTTGGTCTGTCGAGGCTTCCCCCATTTCCAACAGATAATTGTGCAGAAGGCTGAACCATGCTATTTTCAGGGCCATTCATTTCACGGGAATCCTTGGGTTTACTCAAAATTTTAACATTTGAAAGGCCTCCGGCAATACTGAAGTGCGCACCGTTGGATTGTTGATACTGATTTACTGGTAATTTAGAAGGATCGTCACCCATATTTGAAGAGTTGACTGTATATTCCTGAAGTGCCTTTTCAGTTTTGATCATTTTGGAGTCAGTTGAAGGAGATTTCTTTAGGCGGTGAGGTTGGGCCATTGGCGTAACTGCTACAGTGGGCATATACGAAGAATAAGGAGAAGATGCTGCAGCAGCTGCAGCAACTTTTGCAACTGCAGCAGTTGCAGCTATCATTTTATGTGCCCCTTCGCGGAGTTGAATCAAGTCCCCCTCAATCAAAAATAACTGAAATGATTAGGGGAAAACCTATTAGGCTCTAAAGCAAATATGTTGTTGGCGAGCAATATGAAGTTAAACAAGCAGATAACTGAATGAAAATCACTAGACAACCAAAAATATACACAACAATTTGGCATGCAGTGGTCTGGAAGGATGAGCAGTTCCCACCACTTTATTGCATCCAATGATTTGTATAAAATTATGGCCAATTACATCTGATTGCATACCACTACACTAAATTATATATGTCCAAGCTGTAACTCTTAAAACTTACTTCAGGATGGCTAGTAACAAAATCTTCCAGCTTCCCATATTTTCTTTTGTAATCATGCCAATGTAGAGGTGCAAGCATTTTGCCGAGTCTATTAGGGAGCTGTTTTTAAAACATAAACCAAATCAATCGCATGGGTAAGCAGAGGAAAGTTATCTTTCATAGAAAGCCAGAAGTTTCACACTTAACCCACAAAACACTAACCGTTGAACTAATTCGAATACGGCCAGCAGCTGGAATAGTACGGACAATACATGCCAACAATGACCTTTCATCGAGCAGAGCAGTCTCTGGAACCTTAGGAATGGTTGTTGAAGTTGTCTGCCCAGTAGACGCCAATGCTTCAGACAAGACCGTATCAGAATTGTTCTGAATCATGTCACCAACAGATGGTGCATTTGCAGCAGAACTTCCTTGCTCAGTTAATAATATTTGACTCGCAGGTCCATCATTCGATAGTGTCACTGGATTCTGCTCATGTGGAAAGAAAATTGTTAGCTACGACCCTCTCATCAGTAAAAATTATTGTAATTGCTTTTTACCCAGCAGCAAAAAAAAGTGCTCAACAATTTCCTTCAAAAACAGAGAAAATGTTCCTTTGAAGTGATTTTGTCTTTAAAGAGAATAAGGGTGAATTCACTTAAGAATGTTAACAGATAAAGAAAGCATACTGAATAAAATTAAGGGTGGATATGCCCTTTTTACTGACATCAAAACAGCCTAATACTTCAAAAATATTGTGATGATTCCTGAATGTGCGTCAAAAGCATCAAAACTCTCTAGAAGCTACTATGTGTTTTAAGTTATACAAAACCAAAAATATATTGATATCTATCAAAATTTACAATGAACTAAGTATTTTAGGTTAGTACAAAACCCAAAATAACATTCAAATAGTAGCATTTGACACCATCGCCCAAATGAACTTAGTATATCAAATAAAGAAAAACAAGTAAAGCCTTAAACAGGGAGGAAATTCCAAACTTACCTTCATTTCACCATTTGGTTTAAAAGAGTTCAATCTTAAGGCCTCAGAGAACTGTGAAGAAATCTGTTGCAAGCTTTGTTGGGAAGCAATAAGTTGATCTTTATCAACCGACTGAAGAATATAAAAATTCAATTATTCATTACTGTTACACACAAATATTGAGAAAAGTAATTCAAAGTGCGAAAATGAATCATTTGTCATAAAACCTGTGTCTCCCCAGTAGATGATGAAGCCACAGTTTGTGCTTCCTCGCCTTGGTGGACATGGGCATCTGTGTATTCTCTAGGAAGTGTTTGCCCATTAACAGACATTTCATAATTAAACTTTACATCTGATCTGATCAAACTTTGATCAGCTTGGGATGACGTAGGATTGTCCTGTATGGATACCTGCAAACCCTCTGAAACAGCCTGAAGAAACAAGTGTAAATTATAAATCACCAAAAACTTAAAAAATAATACAAGAACTTACTTACATATAACAGTAGATACCTGTTGATTTTGCCACTGTTGCAGAGGTGACATTGTAGGCATTGGATGAAAATGTCCAACATGAGACTGAGGGACATGTGACGCTACAGAATTGGGCACTCCTTGCTGATGCATAACATATGGATGCAATGCAGCAACTTGACCAGGTGGGAGGTATGAGTGGGGGACAATCAAAGGTGATGGAGCAATGGCGACGCCATGAACATGATCACTCTAGAAATAACCACAAAGGTATTGTATATGGGTTAGAAATGTCATTTACATACAGTGACAAAACATGTCTATCACATCTTACATCAAAATGAAAGGCATGGATTACAACAATCTATCACATTTTACATTAAAGTGAAAGGCAATGATTACAACAAAGTACAAGGGCATGGAGCAAAGCCAAAAGGTATAACCACCTAATAATATGGGGACAATGTTGAATGTTTGATGCACTTCATAAAAAAAATATATTAATAGGGCTGATGCTGCTATTTGAATCTATAACATATAACATATATAAAGGCAATACTTGGTTTTTGGTGTAGCTTTTTTGTATACCAAATTTACCCTTATTTTAAAATATATAACTTACACAATAACTTCCATTGAACTACTACTATCATCTTTCATATAACTCCCTACTAATAACTTCCCACATAACTTCCATGTAAAATTAATATTAAATAAAAGTATATCATTTATATTTATGTGTGCAATAAAAAAGCGGACAGACGGACACGCGAGTGCCCGTCTGGACGCTAGTCCATATAAAGTTAAATATATTAATCAACATCCAGATCCGTACTAAAAGAACAGCTAAGATGCCACAACTTTCAAGCATTGGCCAAATGGCAACTTTCAGTACTATCAGTTTCATTCTCAAAATTTATTATCCGTCAGCCAAAAGATTCAATATTCCTGTTGAGATCTGTTTGATATCTATAACAATCTTCAAATCAAACCATTACATATTGGGTATTTCATTTTCTGTTGTTTGCATTGAAAACGTAACAATTTTATCTTATATCTTGGGTGGGCGCAGAATTTTCAATTCATCTAACCATGACAGCAAAACAACACAAACAACCATATTTAGCTACTAAAAATGAGGTATTCACTGTAAAGAGGGGAAAGTGAGAGTGAAAGCCATTTATGGAAATACACGTGCAAATCGATATATGAATTGTTTAGATCTAAACTTTCAATTAATGGCATTAGCATCTCACTTTTTTCTAAAGTTTCTAATTTTAGAAGAGCAGAATCCCTTAAATTTGATACATGAGAACATTTACAAACTACTCTATGTGATGAAATTGAATGTATAAACTTTCAATTAATGTTGTTAGCATCTCACTTTGTTCTAAAGTTACTAATTTTAGAAGAGCAGATTCCCTTAAATAAGATACATGAGAACATCTACACACTACTCTAGTGCTTTGATACATGATGAAAACCCACATAACAATTTACATAACAGACATTCATAAGCTGCATCATTATGATAATCTCAAATGATATCTTAAAAAAATTGTATGAAGTTTAAAATGCATGGACTGGCATATAAGACATGTTGCAAATAAAATGTCTGCGAATAAAACAAAGTCACATGACTAGTTGTTTATCTATCATTCATTAATTGAAACACCCACCTGAACTGACAGATTGCCTGAAGTTGAAAATGGGGGAGCATTATCTGAGTTCTCATTTGTAAGGAGACCAGTATTTCCACCTGAAGCATTGCCTCCATTCAAGTCAAATTGGTTTCCATTTTCTTGCCCATACTGAGCTACATTACTTTTCGAACTTATTTGTGACAATCGGGAATCATCATTGTAAGTTCCGGTCCTCTCTCTTGCCTCTGCTAGCTCAAGCTGTAACTGCTGAATAGTATGCAAATGGAGTCTCTCCATCTCTGCAAACTATCACCACCAAAATCGAGTATAAAGTCAAGCATTATCTACCATTATTTTAAGTAAATGACCAAAATTAACATAACATAAATAAAAGAACCAAAACATGCCTACAAACAGGGTTTTAAAAAACGGCTGCGGTCTCGTCACTGTTGCGTTGTGGCTTTCACAATTTCAGTCGGTACAGGTGTCACGACACTGATTGCAGTCGTCGCGGTGTGAATTAACCACAATTTGTTCTTTAATATAAAAATGGTGATAACGTATCAGTATCGGCACTTGCCGAAACCGTTGTCACAGACCGTTTCTTAAAACCCTCCCTACAAAGCATACAACAATTCAAATTCTTTGAAAATAATTCAAAGAATCTACAAAACTAAATCACAGCTATAAATTAAATGGTGAATATCTATTTCAAAACGGTGCAAACCGAGACGCAGATACAAGAGGACATAAAATAGTAGTCGGAGTAAAAAAGGAAACTTTATCCTTGTAGCATAAAAGAAATGTCGATCATCAACCTGTCTCTGGAAACCCATCCATAGCTGATTATATTGTTCATTGCGGTCTCGCAGTTCTGCCTGTAATGACTGGTTCGTTGTTGACTGGAAAACATCCATCTCCCGGACACGGGCTATCCATGCTTGGGCCTCTCTAACCTGTTCCTCTTTAAACATAATTGTCTCCTGAGCAACCCTATTCTGAAAGGAAGAAACATCAGCAGACCACGCAAGCGAATAAACCAAAATAAAATCTTGTGATAGGATACATAGTAAAGGATTCTTAGTTAGGAATGTTAGTTATGACTTTGTTAGAGTATCTGTATAAACAGGAGAATAAAAAGGATTAAGATCATCATTTCAATATAATAGTTCTTTTCTTTGTGTTCAATTGTTTGGCACCTAACATTATGGAAATAAATTATATAAATATAAATATAAGCGGCCTACTTGTTCCTGCAACTCAATAAGTTGTCTATCTTTTTCTTGAATATGTTCTTGCAGATCATGTATTTGTTGTATATGTTGAGCTCTTTCAGCTTCAGAATGATCGCGCTCCCTTCTGCAAAAAGGATTTGCCCAATGAAGCAAGTAGCAGAGTATAAAAGCAAAACTTAAAGCATCCCATAAATAAATTTGGATAAAAGGAAAACCTGAAAGATGCTAATTCTTTGTTTTGCTCACGGAGAAGGTCTTGTTTTGCCCATGCCTAATGGAATAATTGAAGAGATTAGCATTCAATCAAAAATTTGAATAAGATCCAGAAAACTTTAATAAAGGTAAGAAGCATTCAACAAACCGCTTCGTTGTCTAATTTAATATTATGCAGCTCTCTGTCTTTCTCTTCCATTTTCCTTTCCAGTTCATGAATTGCACGTTCCCTTTCACAAAGTTGCTCCTGAAAGGCCAGATAAACAAGTTTAAAAGCTACCAACAATTCTTAACCAGTGGGAGCGCCAACCATTAAGCTTAATCAAAATACAGTTACGTCTGCTAAACCAAACAGTCATAATCCCCATGGTGTTTTATATAAGTATACAAACTAAGCATATGAAAGTGTAGTCATCTGGTAACACCTGAGCAAACTAATTTTGAGAAGTTCGGGATAGATTAGCCCAGTCTCCAGTATCTCAGTAGACATAAAAATGTCTGAATACACACCTGAAACTTCTTGGCATTGTTAGTATGCTCCTTGAGTTGAGCATCAAAGGTGCTTCTCATTTCCATCATCTCAGATCTGGCAAAGATTTGAGCTTTTAATTCAATCTCCATCTGCAGTATTTCATGCCTTTGTCTAACAACAGTATGGATCTGTTGCTGTAAAATATCATTGTCTAATGTTCCATCCATTGTTATCGAACAAAAGTCAACATCCACAGGCTCTCTTCCTTGCTGCACCTTGAAAAACAGTAAGAGATTATCTTCAGGATATAAATTCCTTACAACTAAAAAGTAGCTTCTCACACCATCACCTTACCTCATATATGGTTCTCTCGTCTGATTGCCCTAGTTTTGGGTTTTGTAACTCCTGCATCTCAATAGATGTTTGTTATCAACCCAACACATATCATTTAACAGCAACCAAAAATTAACACTCCCTTAAACACTTCCCCAATGACAATGTGATAAGCTATCAAATATTCAGTACTTGAAATACTAACAATCTTAACTCCGCAAATGAAACCATAAGTTCAAAACCTATGAGGTAACAACCTTAAACTTCAACAGCAAGAGTTTGAAATTGAAGTACATTCAACTTAAAATTGGCAATCAGACTACATCCAACTTAAAATTGTTCAAAAGGTCAGGATCGTGTGGTCTAAAAAATTCCTATTGCCTATGAAAACCCCTTTTGCTTTGACCATGATTGAAAGAATCATGTTTATTCCCTTGATATTAGACGCACATTCAAATTTCAATATCATTTTGGGTTCGGTCATCGAAAGATGAAACACAGCTGAACCCAGCAGGAATAAAGTCAGCAAAAGTAGAATCTTAGCTCCAAACACAACTGAACCCCATAGCTAGAGAATCACAATATGAAATGGCTTTTTCCAGAAGTTGAAGTATCGAAAAAGTATGAAAACTCAAGAACGACCGAAGCTTAAAACCATTGCTCGGATCAAACACCACCAAAATCCTAAATAAACGATAAACCCTAATCCCAAATCAATGTCTAAAAAGCACCCAGAAAACCTAAGAACTAAGGTATCTAAATTTGAAAAACGAGCGTTTCTCTGACACTCCAAACAACACTATAAAACAATGTGAAGTGATTCGACCTCAAATCCGTACCTCGCTGTCAGGGTTTCTCGCGGAATGATGATGTTCGGCAACAGCGCGCCATTCTTTCCGAGGCGGAGTCTGCAACTGAAGAGAAACGCCGCGAGCAGCGGCTGCGGCGGCCGTGGCCTCCATTGAAAAGAACAGTCGACGGTGCCCTCACGTCGGAAGGCAGCGGGCGAAGAAAACAACGAGTAGGTAAAAGGAAAAAATAGAAAATAAGAAATCCCTAACCCTAGAAATTGAAATAAAGAAAGGAAAAAGAAAGCTCTAAAGTATGCGATTAGGGGAATGAGTAAGGAATTAAGAGTGAGGGAAATTAATGGATTGGGAAAGAAGGGTTTTTGAAAGATGAAGAGTGTGTTGGGGGGTGATGAGAAACCGGACACGAGAAAGATGATTGGCTATGGCGAATTTCGACCGGCACGGTGTGAACAACGTTATATAGGGCATTTTCACTCCATACTTACATTACATGTCAGATATCATCGACTCACGCTTCCTATTAGCGCGTCTACGGTACCTTCTTCTCTTTTTTTTCTTTGGGCTTTCCTTTAATCTTGTACGCCAAATTATATGAGTTCACTTGATATACTTTCTGCACCATGTAGTCTTTTCTCACCCTTATATGTTCTCTTAGGTCCTCTGTGAAAAGTAAAAAATACTTTCAGTTTTTGAAGATGTGTCTTCAAATATATTGTTTTTTTATTTTTTAAAATTTAATTCAAAGATATATCTTTGTATTTGTTTTAGAATATGTTTGCAGTTGTATCTCGAAATTAACCATTAATTTCATATCTAAGAAAAAACCCTAAAACTGTTTAATGTATATATAATACGCGTCAGACTCTCTCTTTCTCCTACTTCGTTTTCTAAAACTTTTTTGAGACACCATTAGAACTTGTGGGCAACATAATCCAGACCATTTTTCAAGCTTCTTGAAGAATGAAAACTACTTATATTTCAAGCATTTTAATCTCAACTAACTTCACTCATTCATACTCAACACTTTTTTTTTAGTAAGTTTTTCATTTAACTTATTTTGAATTTTGATTAATGTGTTTGGTAAAATCATTTGTTATATTTGCATTTGATAGTAGTCAAATCCATAATATATAGCTTTTAGAGACATGCACTGTAGATTGGGTAATATTTTTTGTTGTTAGGGCAAGACGGATATTAGTATCTGTCGTTATTACAGGCACGAACTTTTTCGGATATCCATCCGAATTGCATCCTTACTAGTTTTCGAATATGCATATCCGAAATTTTCCTATATACAAATTGATGTCTCCCCTGATCACGTAGTTCAGGAGGAAGTTTTTGCTGCTGCACGTGATGATGTTCCTCCACTTGCAGACCCTTTTCTATGAGGGCCCTTTGATATCTCCTTACTGGTATACTATAAAGATCATGTTATTGGGCATGTCTAGGTTGGAGATGTATTTTTGTTAAGGATTGTTATTTATATGTTTTAAACACTTGTCTTGCGACTGATATTTTGTTTTTTTGATTTAACAGAAGCGTGATTGTTTGATGTTTGTTAACCAGAATAAAAAGATTATGAAGCTTTATCAGCCTAAGGATCATTGGTTCTAGAGTGTCCTATAGAACTCCGGTCTTTCAAGCTTGTGTTCCTCCGGGTATAAGACCATTAGTCATGGCATACAGGGGGGCTTTTGTTGAGATATGGCATAGGGAAACGTCATCTTTCCATTTCCCCATTAGTAAGATGACGATCACCCTAAATGATTTTGCTTACCTTATATACCTTCTCATTAGGGGGAGGTTACTTGATCATTTTAGAATCAAACTTGATGAAGCCCAAGAGATGATGGTCTTTTTTTGAAGTAGAACCAATGGATGTCATGATGCAGTGTGAGAGCACCAAAGGTATGCATGAAATTTTATCTTACTTGGAAAAGCATTATGGAGAAAACTTGGAGTTGGTTGAGAATGTCGACGGCGACGAGCTACATGTTACCTACCACAAAGAATGTGTTTTGAAGTGTTTCTTATTATTCTTAGTTGGCACGTCTACTTTTATGAACAAAAGTGCAATATACGTCGATGTGGCATACTTTAAGTATTTAATCGGCTTGTCGGCCATTCACAAGTGGAACTAGGGGTCGCCTGTTTGGTATAACTATAATCCAAGCTGAGAAAATGTTCTCTTTGGATGGTTGGCATATGGAGATAATCGAATGTGCGTGTATATACCAGAGTGATGCATCTGTCAGATTGGATATGTGCAGATCATTCTAAGATCCCCCTTTGTGTCTGATCCTAACAGCATAGTTCGTAGACATCTTGATAACATACTGGCAGATTACGAGAGTTATATAGTATTAGAGGAGTATTGAAGAATGCCAGCCATAAGTCAGTGGTCTTATACAGACGGTTACATGACTTGGTTCTATAGTGTCTCACACCCTGTCATGACATCGAACGATACTGAACGTCCATCTAGGCCTGCTCTTGAGGAGATCCTATAGAATGAACAAGTCATGAATGACCATGCCATTGACGTGTTGCCAATCTGTCAGAAATTATGCGGATTGAATATGAGGGCATAAAGTCTGGGCTTTTGAGAGAGGTGACGATGATGCGGTTCCCCTAACATGTGGGTTAGAATTAGCCATATCCAGTAGCTTATGCTTTTATTAGCCATAAGACATCTTTGGTGCGTTCGGAGATGCATCTCCGAAAAAATCTGAAGGCACTTTTGGGTTTTTAGATGTGCGATCCACGCCATAAGGGTGGGAAAAGAAATTGCCTATTTCTAATTCTATTTTAGGTTTAGTATTGTTTTATTTTTACTCTATAATACTATGATAGTTTTGGTTTTGAAGTTTTCCGCTTGGAGTGTAAGAACTAAACTAATAAGTTTACATGTAACACGTTTAATAAAAAATTATAAACAAAAATATATTCATGAGAGCACAAGGAATACTCAATCTATAATGAAAAAACGAGAAAATGCTTCATGAGTACCTAATACAATTGATAAGGGGATTCTCAAACCAATCTTTCTTATCACAGATGAAAGTATCTCTAAATATAGCACCGACCTATTTTCAAGAGATGCATTTAGCTAAAGAAACTATGGCAATCACATCATAGAACCCTCTGTTAAATAGTATATTATTTCTAGAAAGTTAAATTTCCCTAACAGTAGCAAACAAAAATAAGAGCCTAAAGCCTTTAATGATATTGTCTTTCATCATCTTGTCAAAATTCATTGTGTGGCCAATAATACTAGGAGCAGTATAGAGGCATCCAAGCCCTACCCAATCCAACACCTTAATCCAAACTAACTCAATTTTTGTGCACATCAAGAACAAGTGAAGGTTATATTCATTATTACCAAGACAAAGAGCTTAAACTGTATTATGCGAACCGAAAAGTTGCCACGAGAAAATTTAATTTGTTGCTTATGTGTTTTTTTACAATGTAGTTAGGTTAATTATTAAATATTTAAATATTTAAACTTTAAATAAGTTAATTAGTGAATGCTTATGATAAAATTAAATATAGAATTATAATTTACACCACGCTTACATTAGGTTGAAGTCGTGTAGCCTTTTTTCTATTGTCATTTGCCATTTGATAAACCCCAAAAGCACTAATTCAGGAAGAAAAAAGTTTATATAAAGCCACATTAAATATGAAATTACTTTTGTAACAATTTATGTATATAGGATATATATAATATATTATAACAAAAGTCACATAAAAGATAAACTTACTTTGTAACAATTTTCGTCATAGTTTTATTAAGTTATCGATGAAGTGAACAAAAGATGACCACAATATTGTCTCTTGGACAAATGATTATGGATTGCCAATGATCTCTGTACGTGTGTGTGGAAACACAAAAGTCACATAAAATATCTATGTTATCAAAATTAAAAAATAGAAAACATAATTTCATACAAACTTATCCATGAATAAATGGTAGTAAGCGGCACACTCTTTTTTCGTCATGTAACTTATCTTGTATATATTTTTTAACATTTGCTTCAGTTTTCGGCATATTATCGACATACATACACCTAGCAAGGTCCGTAAATCCATATACTTCTGATGTGGATTTATTAATACATACACGATGAATATACCTGAATAATTTTAAAATAAACATTAGAATCAAAGTGATGAGAGATATAACATATTAATAGATATTGACAGTAATAAAAAAAGAAAATGTACTTACGTGCACTAAACTTGCAGAGTAGACACGTAAAGCCAATGAAAACCCACCAACAACTCTCTGATATACTTAGCTGATATATAAAAATTAATGACACTCACACAATGACTTAATTCTATTCCCAAATGTGTGTTACCCATTTTTCAGAACCACGAGTAACAATCTCTGAACATCGTCTTCCACTTCTTTTGTGTTTCCTTTTGCAACTAAACAACTTCATTTTCCGCTTTCATCGACAAATTTCATTTGTTCAATGCATTTATTATTTTATGTGTTTTGCGAGAAACCCATAGACCTAAGTGTCTCCATAAAAGATTGTTGTAACATCTTACGCTCTTCAACCAACTTTTAATCAAAAGCAGCTCTAAGTTTTGCTTCTAATTCAAATGAAAATTGTGCAAGTTGTTCTTTTACATCTATATATTGTCGTTGACGTGAAGACGAACTTCCAAAGAAAGTGTTAATTTTATGGTGTTTTCCAACACCACGAACACGACCGCCATGCTCAGATGTTCCAATGGCTGCTGTTAAGATATCGTTACGCCTATCTGGAACAAAGGCACCCTTTTCAGCTTCTTCAACTAGAGAATCCTAAAAAATGAAAAGACTAAAACTAATTTCAATAGTTTTTATCAATCACAACTATAATGATACTTGAAGTATTTTCTAAATATTACTTATAATTTTCTCAGCAACAACTTGTGTAGACTTTGATGTGTATTCTCCCCTTTTTTTTTGTCGTGCTCTCTTCCATACTTCATGGCGTGACAGTGGAGATGGACTACCATTATCATCTAACGTGGAATCATCTCTCGATAATCTCCTTTCATTTCTCATTTTTTCCACAAGCAAGTGATACCCTCCTCGAGATAATATGTGTGGGTATACATTCCTAGCCACATTTTTCATACCCTTTTGACTT